CATCGTGTAACTTGTTGAATCTCCCTAGACCAGTCATCGTAAGCAGGAAATTTGAAGCCGAAGGCAACTTGAGGATATGATAGAAATATACTGAGCATGTGTCTGCGCATCAATGTAATTGCACCGACGCTTGTAAGTACGAAGCTACTTGCCTGCCCACTGGCAGGTTGCCTTTGCTAAGAAAATTAAATTTCAGCACCGTAGATCATTCATAAAATGCTTACTGCACACCCCTTCCACACAGCGGTCACGGGATAGATAAACTTTAATCTTACCTGAAAGTTTGAAACCGCACTCTCACCGTGCAACGAGAAGACTCCATATTTTAGCGCGTATATATCTGGTCTAACGTCACGTAGTAACCATGCACGGTCAGTCCCCGGAGTCTGTAGCGACCATGTTGTTTTCTTCGGGAGAGGGAGAACATTGGATAAAGAGGACGTATCCTCAGGATTAGTGGCTGCTAAGTGGCAGAAGATCGATGATCGGACTCAGCCTCGTCAAAATGATGTACTAGTAACTTACGTAAGTACTACATAGACCTTAGCTTAGTCAGCCGCGGAGTCGTAGCGTACTTAGTACTTAGTACTAGAGCTCTTCCGCCGATTCACTTGCCTTACACATGACGCGCAGGCACACAGTCGCGGATTTACCGCTCTGATGGACTCGCGGTGTAATACTAGGGAAGATGTGATATTCTCTTGTTCAAATTTCGCGTACTGACATGAAAAAGCTGTTGTGGACTAGTAAATATGGGGAAAACCAATGCTGTGCGTACTTTACTTAGTTGGCAAGGAGTTACAAGGTTTGTAGCTGATTGATACGATATATACAGTAGAACTGACGCGAGTTCTGCATTGGTTGTCTGTCACACCGCATTGACATTCCTATATCAGCATGTTGCTCTGTTATCATCGTCTTGGCGCCATTTGATGCTGTCAGGAAGGCCATTTCTTTCCTTGACATGGATTCCAGTGTTCGTCATGGTGCGCTGGCCACTGCTGTGGGACTGACAGAGCCAGTCCGTGCGGTATTCTGGAATCTGGACCCAGTTGGCGCACTTCTGCACAATACTCGATCATCCGTCCCTGTCAGTCGACACTGATGCGGCCTGTTCAAGCGGCCGAACGCTAAGCGTTCGCCTTCGTAACGCGTTCGATCAGTCTAAGACCAGTCTCCGCACATCCGGCGACTGTCCATGCAAAGGAGTGATGCTATCTCACGCATTTGCATTCTCCCTGACTTTTCTGCTTTTCTCCTGCCTCCACTGTTATCCAAACTCTGGAAAGCGGCTGAAGAAGGTCCAGTTATCATCGTCAACGATTGTTAGTATGGCTGTGACGCTTTGATTATCCTCAATGCAAGATCTCATCCATGTTCCACTTGATATCCCGCGGACCGAAGTCTGCGAGTCGTACTCCGAGTTTCAGCCCCTCATCGAGCAATTCGATTCCTCTGGTCATCAACACAAGCTTTCCAGCATCCTCCACATGATTGGGATGGCATTGTTAACCCCGTGGTTCAAGCTCTTAGAGAATCAAGTTCACTCTCGCTCACGTATCTGGTGGTGTTCCACCGCTGAGTTCACGCAACTTTCCTACATGCAGCAGGAAGCTCCAATTTGTCTCACCTTTACATCTCTTCGTATTCCCCGACCTCGGTGGCACTCGCGAGACAGCTCGTTTCTCAAGATGTGTCCACATAATATTTTGTTGTAGTCGGTCAAGCGAACCCTGACAGAGGGAAGGAACTCTGATATGTCGCCCCTGAATTAGCCGTCATAGCTCAACGTCTCGTATCCATCGTGTCATCTTTCGCATCACGTCGGAACAGCCTCGTAACCGTGCAGGGTGCATTTGAGGCTTTGCACTATAATCAATGGTTCCATCTAGCCTGCCATAGAATGCCAAATAGAGAACAACCGTTCGAGTCTTCATTTGCAACGTGCGACAGACCGCTGATCATCGATGATCAAGGATATTATCCGATCAGACTAGCCGAACTCGGCGTTCGCATTCTCATCAGCTTACCACGCCACTGTGGGCGATGAGAGAAGTCCCAATGAGTCAATCCACCTCGCCGCGGCTATACGATTCTCCGATGTCATTGGTTGCGTGTAGTCTGTCAACGTCAATGTTGCAGGGGTCGATGGTTCTGGCACATTAGACTGCGCGCGGGCTGCGGTAGCGTTGCACAAAGCTATGAAGTCGTTGCGCAAGAAAGATTCCACTAGGACAGAAGATTGTATTTGTTCACATAGGTGTCTAGTTTGACACTCCATTCGCCATATTATCGCATTTTCTGCAATCCTGATTACTTTCGTTCCCTCGCTGTCCCAGGTTTTTACTTGTCTATTGCGTACTCGTTTGGATGGCTCTGAGTCACTCCATGATGTGTTGATGTTAAATACAGAACGGAAGTGGTGTCCGTTCCAGGCCTTGATCCGAATTACTTCCGCGGAATTAAACGTTTCGCTCCGTCCTTACAAATGTATAAAATAGATATCATGCTCTGGTAGAACGACAGAGGACTCATGAAAAGGCAGTACCGACAAACAGATTATATACCTTTGATCAATTCTACATTGGACTTGCGAGTCTTGCATCGAGAACACAAAATAGAGGAGCGCTACACCCATAGCACTTGAGCTCGAGAGTGTCTGCCGAGAAACAATTGTATTTGACAAGCCCGGTGTCCCCAGCCGAAAAGCTCGGGTTCACCGGGGCTAAAAGTACAAGCAGGGCTATACGCTTAAAGAGACTTACAGAGCGGAGTCCCGGCCATAGTTGGTAAGGTTGACAAATTATAGTTTCAGCTGGCTGCACCTGACCTGCGAATTTCCGCGTTCAGGAGCGATGCGGGGAAAAGCGTGGCAATTATGTACATGTCGGTTTTCACCGATAGGTTGGAAAAGGAATTGTCTTCAACGGGATCTGGGAGTTACGCTAGGTTACGCTAGTCTAAGCTGCGGGCGGATGTGAAAATGTATCGATTTATCTGACCAAGGTCCCTTGATATCGATCAAAAATCCAATGATTGGGGTAAAAAAAAGGTTTAGGCTTCTTCAAGTCTTCCGTTACAATTAACACTAGTTCTCTCTTTGAACAAACCACGTATGTTTTTTCCTGCAACAACGGAGATACGAGTGGCCCCAATGATTCTCATCCTCGAACATGTTAAAAAGTCGAAAATTGATAATAATCAGTTGCAAATAAGTTGACTTGACGTCGGATCGGCAGACAGGCGTTTATTAGAACGTTGCCTTGTTGATCCTCAACGCCTGTCAGTTTGCACTTAAGCATTTTGCATGGTCGCCGTCGTGTGAATGGTTGGCTGAGTTACAGTACTACTAGGTATCAAATGAATTGGCAAGGAATGAAGGCGACAGAGCGACGTTAAGGGCATGGCACCTTTATATGTCTCTGGCTTGTGATAATAAGACATAACCGGTTTTCTCAGGGAGCGAGCCTTCTGTGCTAGCGGCGGCCTCGTCGACCTCGTGCGTTTGATGGATCTGCTCCTGCCTGTCGAACAAGGTAATACGGCGCCGTAGAACTTCTCGGAAGGCTCGTGGCGCATCAAGTTCTCATGATGTTCTTGAGTATGCTGCGAGACGCTGCTACTTAATTGTAAGAAAGTTAACCCAATGCTGTGGTGCGTGAAAAAAAATAACCATAAACAAAAATATCGGAGGAAGTGGAGCAAGACAAAATATAGGCTTGACAGGGTGTGAGGGTACTTCCCAAGGGAATTGTGTTTGAGAGGGAGCAATACTAGTTGACCCTGCCATTACTCGGCAGTACCTAAAGAAGAACAAGACGCACTGGATCTATGCTATGATTAACGTCACCAGATCAGTGCGTTTCAAAATATCGGAACTTGACTTACAAATACAAAGATCACATCAGCGCGGCGCTAACAACCTCGATGAAACGACAACAGAGTCTGCATACATGGCACTGTTGGGGTGATTTGAGACCGCAACTGCAACACCGCGATCAGTTGATAGTAATAAATGGACCGAGAGAAGACAGAAGGAGTTGCAAGCTCTCGGTGGCGATAGCAACACCGTTTGCGGTTAGTTAGCAAGAGGATCCGAAGGCGCTGCAACCTGGTCAGAATCCGCGATCAAAGGGTGTAACTCTTCTGAACGTGTTTTGAACGTAAAGGGAGCATCTTAAAATTGTAAAGAGTGCCCGGGGATCGGGTATTACTCTCCAGAGGCCATGGTTAGAGTGCACTGCTGCTGGGAGACTGAAAAGGGAAGGTTATGCAATGAATAGGGACGAATGCAAATAAGTCAAAATAATATTAAATACTCTTCGGCATCAACCGTCGGCGACATCGGCTAGATAGGGTATATACGTGAGATAGATTTGTGATTTCTGGGAAATAAAAAAATAATGCGGAGTTAGCCGATTGATATGAATTGAAAGTGTCGTATTCTCAATTGTGTCTTCTTGACTTTACAACCCCATCACTCGTCAGTCTCTCTCTCTCTGCATGGTCCTTTGAGGTCTATAAACCCTTTTTCCCTTCTTCTCCGATAAACCTCGCCGCTAACAAGGATACCGCTTGTAGTCAGTCATGTTCTCTCTCTCTCCCTTTATATCAGACTTAATACTTTCAATGACTTTCTACAGATCTCGCGACCCTTGCCGGCTTCTCACAATCCGACCTTTAAACAACCCAAATACCTCAAAGGACCAATCAGTAGTACGCTTGAGCTCGCTCGCGACTCTGATTTATAGCAGTTTTTCGACTATCCACCACTTTACCTGCATAGCCCGCTTTCAATTGCTCCCGCAAATCCCTACAGTCTAGGTCTCCGCTGAGGAAACTCGCGTACCCTACTGCTCATATAACCATCACCTTGCAAAATTGGTATCGACCGGCTAATCATTTTGTTGTTGTTAGAACTCATCTCATTCTTCCGTTATACTCATACTCGTGTTATCGTCTCGATTATACTTTACCCTTTCCTTTGATTCCTGGCATTCATGGCTTTAACTCTTCCGATCGCTTCATCGTCGTCTCCATCTCCTGGCAACTCTCCCGTTTCAGCGGAAGGTTCTGTTCCCCCTCAAACTCCGATCACACCTGCCGCCGGTCAAACTCTCTCACTTTCCTTGGCATCCTCTCAATCACAAGGTTCCAGCACAGCCCCAGCCAATGGCGCTGTTACACAGGTCAAGCGGAAGCCCAGTCGCCGAGCCAATACCGCTGAAAGGCGCGCTACTCATAATGCAGTTGAGAGACAACGCAGAGAGACTCTCAATGGCAGATTCTTGGCAAGCGTCACATTTCTTGATTAAAAGAACTGCTGATCCGAACGCTATCTTCGCAGGATCTTGCTGCGCTGCTTCCTAATCTTTCGCAGATCCGCAGACCTTCCAAGTCTGCGATCGTTAACTCTTCGATTGCTCACGTTCACGCATCAAGGCGTCACCGTTTCCTAGCTTCGCGGGAGCTGCGGGCTCTCAAGCTAGAATCTGATGCCCTTCGTCGGGAACTCAACGAATGGCGTGATCGTGCTGGCCTTCCCTGTGTGGAAGAGCCCGTTCGTGGGGAAGGCTTTTCAATGGTCCTCAATGGTGAGGTCGAAATCCTCGCAGCTGTCATCGGAGAGGAAGATGAAGAAGGCCAGGCGTATGATGGATATGATGAGGGCGATGATGAATTCGCTGGTTCGATGCCAACTGCCATGGACGACTCCGAGGATGTTATGCCCTCTGCGCCGATGGTCAAGAACGGCATGTATACCCACGGGAATGCTCCTCCTACTGCCCCGCCAAACTCGCACGGCGGCCCTATGATCGCTCAGATGCATTCTTCGGTTTCTTTCGAGAACCCAGAAATGCCATCGATATACGAACCTCGGGTGAATTTCGCCGCAGTTCCTTACATAGGACAACACCATCCCGCTATGGAACAACATAGCGTCAAAGCGTGGTCGAACATGTACAACGCCTATCACCCTCAACACCCCCACCAACTCCCGGTGCAGCGTAACTTGGTCACTCCTCCCAATGGCTCGCACAACATGGGACCGTCGGCAACGACCGGCAATCACTTTGGGGACCAAGTGGCTCTTGCCAACCTCAAACGGCAGCAGCTGCTCGCGCTCCAGCAGCAGCACGGTGCCATGGGATATGTCGCTGATGTTGATGACGCGTCATCCGTCGGATCTGGTCACAGCAGCCCCGGTTCTGGATACGGCTCACCATCGCATGTAGCTTCGTCTATGTACGAGATTGCAAACGCCCTTCCCGATTATGGTCTACCCAAAAGGCTGAGCCTGGGCAACCTCCACATCAACACTGGTATTGCAGGATCGTGGAGCGGCAGGGTCGAGGATGGCATGGGAGGCATGATGACGAAGCAAGGTTTGAGCGTCCCGATTAACGTTGGCAATGGCGGAGGATATGGCATGATGATATGAGGCCCATGAGCTTTTAAGGCGTTGCACACGATACCCGTGCCGTGCATGGGATGCCTTGGGACTTGTAGGACGAAGTACCCGCTTTCTCTTCTGCTTGCTATGCTCTGACCGTGTCTTGTTGTCTACGTTTTGATAACCCCCTCCTCTCATTTTGTCTCAGTGGCCACTTGCTTGACCATTATAATTATGCGTAGCTGATCGACTTGCACGCCCTCGCTTCCGTTGTATGTTTTGTCTTCTATCTATGTAACACTAACCACCAAGTAACGAAACCCTCCTTCCAAAAAATTGCAGTATAAACGCTCTTTACCGTTGCCCATTTGGCGTTTTGTATCATCTCTATCGAATCAAAAGTGTACACATAGATACGCTCCGTTATCGCAAAAGGCGGGCCCCTCCTATGGTTTATGGGCTCACAGGACATGGGCGCCGTGTTTGTCATTTGGCTACCTTACTCATTACATATAATTCTAGATTTACATCGTACCGTGGATGTTGTCGGCGTGCTCGGGCATCTCATTCCCATCTTTGAGAACTTCCCCAGAGTGCTCTTCTTGTGCTCTGCTGCCGCTTCAAAGTTCAAGCTGGGGTCTATCAGGGTCTATCAAAAAGTTATTTTGGGGATCCGCAGGCGTTTCATTTATGCTGAACTCCGCGACCAAATATTTGCTAAGTCCAAATGAGGTATGTCGTAATAGCGTAATGTTAACGTAGTAGGTTTCGGTTAACCCCCAAATAACCCGCAACAACACTTTGCCAACTTTATCACGACGTATTGAGTCCCACAGTGACCATTGCAGATTAAGTGCTTGCAAGGTACGCTTTGGAGCAAGTATGTATATTCACGGATAAACGCCTTTTGCTGAGAGCCAATACTGTTTCAGCGACATGGAAGATCCCAGTGCTGCAGCAACGTCGCCCCGACGACTGGCTGTCCTCATCTCGGGAGAGGGTATGTGCCGATCTTGCAAACGTACATGCTGTCATATCAGATCGCCACTACAGGAACTAACCTTCAAGCACTGATCGATGCACAGAACACATCGTCTCTGCCTAATACCTGCATAGTCCTCGTTCTCTCCAATCGTAAAAACGCACGCGGTCTAATACGCGCTTCCACTGCCTTGCCTCCGATCCCTACCGCATACCTCGGCCTTCAGCCATTTCTTAAGTCAAATCCTGGAAAGACGCGCGAGGACTACGATGTAGAGGTCGCGCGCATCGTGTTACGCGCCAAGCCAGATGCCGTTGTATGTGCAGGGTGGATGCACATCGTGAGCGAGGGGTTCTTGGATGTTCTCAGGGGGACGCGGGTATTGGAGGGGGAGGAGGTGCTTGCAAGGGAGATACCTGTTATTAACATTCATCCGGCGTTGTTTGGGCAGTTTGATGGTACGCATGCTGTTGAGCGAGGGTTTGAGGCGTTCCAGAAGGGGGAGGTGGATGAGCTGGGCGTAATGGTGCACCGTGTGGTCAAAGAAGTTGATCGCGGGGAGCCGTTGATTCAGAGGAGAGTAGAGGTGGTGAAGGGGGAGGCGATAGAGGCCTATGAGGAGAGACTACATAAGGTAGAGTGGGAGATTATTGTCGAAGCTACTCGGATAGTGCTGGATGAGGTGCAACCGCCCCTGTCAAGCGACAGCTCAAGTTAACATGATCAGGCCTACGCGATGGATGGCCAACTTGCGCGGTGGATCTAGCGAGTAACAAAAGGGAAACCAAGGTAGAGAGATAGGGTAAACATTGGAATACAACAAGAATACAGTATGCAATTTAGTCTACAGGCAGACGATGGGTCTGATTAACGTGAAGGTAAGATACCATTTATCAAAATCACAAATTCTATGCTCAGAACGGGAATCGCATAGGGCGCGAGTCGTGTTGGTTTCTATAATGCGAAGGATAAGTATCACTGCGAGTACACCGTCAGCTTTCTCGGACTTCAAGGAGCCAAATCTGAACAACAGACCTAGATAGTATGTGGTCCTGATGCACAATGACATTCGGAGCACGTCGGTGATATGGAGGGGGTGACAACGCATTCACGATCATCGGCGACGAAAACCTGCCATTTCCAGACATGTCATCTTGATCATCGTGTTCGAGATCTTCTTCGGGCCAAAACCGATCAGTAATTTTTTTCCCGAGTGGAGGCTGCGTCAAATGGTCAGAATCAATCAATCGAACAGAACGGAAACAAGCCTACAGGAGATGTGAGCGCCGAAGTGCAAATAGGACTCGCCGGTGTCACAATAATATCGGGAATAGTCGATTCGGGGCTTGAATCAGAGTCCACAGGTTTCGAACTGGATTCTGTGTCCCGGGAAGACCAGGAAGATAACGAGGACGAAGACAACTTTAGAGAAGGAAGTAAAGATCTGCGCTTGGTGGCCCTGGAAGTGAAGGACGATTTTTGCGTGCGGGTGGACGAAAGAGAACTCCTGCGCTTCAGGGTAAGATGACTCGGCACGAATGATTCGAAAACGGAGGGTGCATGCATTCGAATTTTGATGCTGCGTCGAAGACGTGTAAATGCAGAAGGAACGGGAAGAAAACTTGTAGAAGTGAGTTGTGAAAAGGGCATATCACGGGGATTTGAGATCTAGATGAGCACGGATGACACTACACGGGGTCACTGGCAGGCAAGGAGAACGACGAGGAGCTTTATAATCCGCCAATGCCAACGTCAAAGTGTCCCATCGTCCGCGTCCACATCCACATCCACGGGTAAAGCGAGTGGGCTTTTGTACTGATGGTCATGTTGTGGCCAAAGCGGTGGCGCCCATGATGGTGGACCTGTGCACTGGCATTGTCCTGCGTGCGGAACGAAACGCGAATTGACATATCTATTATAAGCATGGGCGTTTGATGACTGTGTGTGTATGCATATAAATGAATGAAAGAACACTTGCGCGCAGCTGCGGGCTAGGAAGCCTGCAGGCATAATCACCGAGTGACATATTCGATCGAGATCTGCGGCCGGTGCCCCGGCGACAATGACATCGGTCACGCCAGAGCAACCGGTAACTTGCGCTACAGCAAATGTCTAGTGGCTACGTCTAAGGCCAATGGCGTCCACGTCAAACGTGGAATAGCCATAACGATGCTGTCAAGCTGGCGTGTGCTCAACTAACCACCAGCCCGGCCATCTGCTCGAACCACTGGGCCAGTGCAGCGACCTTCTTGACGGCGGCGTCGCTTTTCCCGAGCCGGAGGTCCGGCCGGAGGCGATTGTCCTCACGTGTGTAAGGCATGGTCCGAAAGCAAATCTCCGCGGTGGGCTTGTTGTACGGAGAAGCGGTGAGAGCGATCGAGCTGCCTGGCTCGCACGTTGGTACGAGGTCTGTATGATGGGAAATGACGTCAGTTCACGCAATGCGATCGCAAGGGCGATACGATACGTACTCTCTAGATAAATTATATCACCGCGCTTGACGCCCAGTGCACCCCATGCATCTGCAACATCACGCCATGCGGTGAGCTTGCATACTGATCCATCTTCGTCACCAAGAATCATTTTGAGAACTGAAACTTCTTTCCCTGCGTCCAGGCCTTTCTTCACACGCACTGTATCGGGGCCTTCCACCTCTAGCGTGGCGAGTAATATATTCACTTTTCTCCCTCTCGCAAGTTTTTCACTGTAGAGGGATGCAAGAGATGAGACCTTATGAAGGCTGATCTGAAAATGCGGGAAGCGGGCTATAGAAGACGCGTCTGAGTAAGACACGGAGGTGGTTTCCTGTGTTTGGTCCATCGTAGCAGGCTGAGATTGCGACTGCGATGTACGCAGGAAGGAAGGTACACCAGTGGTATCTGCAACAGGGGTCGGAGGCCAGGTTATCACCGTCGTCTGTTCTATTTGCATGTATGAGGTGGAGCTCGCGATCGCGGAGCTATGTAAAAGACATACCATTCATCGAAAGTTGGCTTCCCTCAGGCCATGCGATCTGGCCAACACGCTCATGATTAAACGCTTCTTCATCACTATCGTCGAATATGATATTCTGGTAGAGCAAAGATATTCGTCTGCTCGCGGCCTCGAGTGTTGCGGGAGGGTATAGTAGTGCTTGTGAGGCATCTACTAAAGGAGGCTCGATAGTCTTCCAGGTGTACGAACCAGCTGCGTCTTTTCTGAGATCACTAACGGACGGGGCGCCGAGAAACACTCTGAAATGTGTCATCACAAGGCTCCTTAGGAGGGACTCACATGTAAGCAAACTCAGAGTTTGATACAGCACTACTATTTTTAGACTCAAACCAGCTCAAACGTTTGACATAAACAAGTCCAAGCTCAAAACGTTAGTGAGGTTTTTCTTCCAACTTCCAGTTTGTATTTCGCTGCAACGCATGTCTAGTATGCTTAAGTTCATGTGAACGACTTTGGGCTGTGTAGCATACTAAGTGATCGTTACAAATTAACTTGCAAGAAAGGTTGTTCAGGTGCGTCGTTTAAGATCGTTTTAACTGGAGGTTCATGGTTATGATCATACCTTACTACTCGGCTTGATTGACAGAGTCCCATTCAAGAAACAGACAGTACGTGCGGGTACCCGAAATGATCCGACTTAATATTCTTGGGAACACCGAAGACGAAGTACTGATCGTAGCCTTGCATAGGAACACGTTAACTGCGGCTGTGATAGAACCTGTTGGCTTATTCTGCGGTGATAACACCTAGATCTCATCGTAGACGCTCCGAAGTGCACAGTGCCATTTCATAAAATGGTTGCTCTGCGGCTGATGCGGGCAGACCTGGTATATCTCAAATTCATACTGTCTATTTCCATCAGAATCGCTGATGAAATAAATTTATTCCTCGCAGGCGTATCAAAGAACGTAGAACGTTGCATTCTTTTCCTCCATCTACGCAACGGGCCCGGCTTGGCATCAATGTAATCAGCATTGATTTTGTGAGTAAAAGATGACAATCACGAGCTCTCACCCGATAAGTTACACATGCGTTACAGTTAGCAACGCATTGCCCATCGAATTAGAAGGAACCTGAATGGCAAAATTCTGGCACGGCTGAAGGTCACCTTGGTCTGGGTTGCGCTCTTCTGAGTCGTAGGACCCAGGCCCCGTTGTGGAGGATATCACCAAGTGCCTCGCCTGGCCAGTAGCTTGGATTACATGATTGGATTGCAATCACAACAGCTATTTCTTGCGACGAAGACTTGAAATCATGCAGACGAATTCAGTCGCATGATCCCGGTGGGACAAGAATATTGTTTCTGGTGGCTTACTGGTCGAACGATGTCGACGACGTTAAAGTTACTCCCAGCACCGACTGTAAACATTTTGTGCGAAAGGAGTTACAGTGAAAATGGAAACGACGAAGATACTTAAAATTCTCATCACAGTCCACGATGTATTGGCAAGGAGATTGCGGGATGCTGCCTTCCTCTATATTCATGCCAAGCGTGAGGCTGTGGAGCTCGATGCATATGTATTCCTAGCTCTCATATCTGGATGAAATGACCCTAAACGGCGACAGGCGTGTCCACATGGTGGGGCGGCCAGGGTTTCCGAGATGATCATCATCTGTGAATGGATCATGTTTACACTGCGCCGATTTCTTCTTTCCGAAGCCGTCCGTCCTGGCACTTGGGAATGTGATGGGACACCAAGCAGCACTCCAGTTGCCGAAGCGACGCTGCATTACAATGAATCCTATCACAGGCTACGAAATAAGCTAGTTCACTACCACCGACACATTTTTTAACTCCATCCAAGGCCTGGGACCGGCCTAACCATACTCAACATTAGCTCTACACCAGTCATAAAATGCAACACATACCCCAATGAGAGCAAAGTGAGTGACGGTGAGAAGGGCGCTACCGCTGCTCATAGATTGAGGGATCCTGATGTTGAAGTCTTGGCTCGGTTGCTTGAAGTTCTTGCGAGGATTAAATGGACCACTATAGAGAATTTCGCCTAGCGCTTCCGCCTGAGGGGCACAAAGATTCCATGCGCATGAGCGGATGGCAATGACAACAGCCACTTCCTCGGAAGCAGACAATGAATCCTTGTACAACGTGAAAACAAGATCGTACTTGGAAGGGACTCATTAACTTACTGGTTTCCCAATAGTGACTGTTATATTTTTTCCTGGAGAGACAGATGAGCCTGCTAATGGTGTCATTATGAAGACCTGTTGTGCAGAAGCAATAATGCTCGAAAAAAGCAAGGCGACGAGTGGATTGACGACTCTCATTCTGAGAAATAGATGTAGTAAGTTATACTGGGATGCTACTCAGTTGTCGTGTATCTTATATCTGCGACATTCATTCTGCATGCGTAGGTTCTAGAAAGACCTCTACGAAGGTGACGTACTGCTTGAGAACCATACCGACAAGGAGAAAAAAGCCATGGAAGGAGAAGGAGATGCCAAAATGCTCTTAGAATTGTTCAGCGCGACCGCGGCGGAGTCGGGGTCATGCGCAAGTCCGAAGAAGACGTCTGCAACGTGTAATATTCCTGGCGAATCTGATGCTGGTCTGCACAAGAATCAGTCACGGTTATGTGAAAAGCTTATGTAGCTATAAACGGGCCTTGCAAGAAGAATCAAGTTATCAACAGACTGCTTGTGGATGGAGCGTCGGTACTAGTGAGTTGCATTTACGTCGATTCCCCCGTTATTCCACTTGTAGTCACCTATTTGTCACCTATTGCTGATCTTACATAAGCTTCAGCTTCAACGTTTCAACAGTCACCGGCACCAGTCACTAGTCAACGTTTCAACTCCGAGTCTGCGCCAGCTCACTCATACACGCATTGCATAGCCTTCAACATTTAGAATGGAAGCTATGCATGTTATGACTCTGAGTGTTTTCCGAATGTCACCGGCTCCATAAGGAGCATTTCCGCTAGGCTGGAATGGATTGTTACCGATCACGTCGGCTCAAGTTGTCAATATTTTGATGATACAGCGCACCGGGAGCTACTGGGAGTCTGGGACGTTCTGACACGCATGGTTTGAAAATTCCGGCGAACGCTGCCCTCTCTCCCAAAGCCAAAAGCATATAAAAGGGTGGGTTTTCATCGCCTTCGCCAATTCATACAATCATTCATTATGAAGTTAGTTCTGTCTCTCGCTCTTCTTGTAGCTTCTGCTTTTGCTCAGAATGCTGTAATTGGATACCCTCCGCAAGGTCTTTCAGTCTCTCCTGGAAGCAGTTTGACTGTTCAGGTAGAGAGACCTGTGAGTCTCTGACATGCAATCATGCCCTGTTCCTCGATTAACGCCTGTTTTTCACAGGATTCATTGACGGGTTCTGAAGAAGTTGCTGTCGTTATTGGCATACAGTCATGTCCGGGAACGCCGTGCATTGCCCCTGCTGATTACATGGGTCAAATTTTGTATAACGGTCCCTTCAACCCACAGTTCCACGAGACGTACAACCCCCCTTATGAAAACTTCACAGTTCAGATTCCGAGCAGCATCGCCAGTGGAACCGCTCTTCTTGGGGTTGCTCATGTCACTCTTGTCGGAGTGAGTGCCCTAAACATTGTTCGAAAATACTCGCAACTAACAATGTGGTCTAGGCTGGGTTGTACCCTTGGCTGGAGACTCTGAATCGCACCATCACAATTTCGTGATTGTGATTCTCATTTCATAGCTATGGACCTTTGCAAGGGACTAATTGGACATAGACGCTGTAGTACAGTATCGCACAACGATGCATACATATATAATTCGGCTTTACATGTTTCTGTAATTCCCATGATGACTTACGTCTTACTCAAATACTTACGAATCCTCGTTGTCTCCTTTTGTGATTGTGTTGCGTGTCATGGTGTACTGTACTTACTGCGAATTATCGACACTATTATGTTTCGTGTTGTTACTTGCCATGTGATATCTGTGACAATTATACACACTAATTTCACTGTCACAGGCGACACTCACGTCCTCAGCCCTCCTCAGCCTGACTCGGAGTGAACCCATTTTCAAACGAGGCCTTCGTTCATCATGTAGAAGGAACGAGTATCATACTTCTATCTGGTCTGGCTACAGCAGATTATTCAGCACTATGGCGCAGCCAAGCTCAAAAGTTTGGTCACAAAACTAAGCTAGTTTCACACTTCTTTGATATTGACATGCTATGGACGAGTCCGGACTGCGAACGCCGAGACACGTCACGGTCGTCAGAGCTCCACCTAGCGAGTTATGGATTCTTAGTACACGGCGGGCGGCGTTGATGCCCCGAGTCAAATGGTAGTAGTTGAACCTTCTCCTCAGATCGATTGTCGTGCCTGATTCTGATTTTATTGCATAGCCTAGACTCATGTCACGAACCCTGCCATAGCCCGCATACTAGTAGAGCCTACCGCTCACATCATTCCGATGGTAGCCGCCATTCACTACGTACCCCCTTGTGCTAGGAACCATCACCGATTATAGCCTCAGAAGTAATATCGCTTCGTACTCAAACTTGAATTCAAACACGGAACGCTTGTCGTCTGAATCGCATTTTTCAGAACACGGGCAAGAAGACCTTCGATCGAAACTGTGGACGCATGCACAGTAATGATACCTTTCGTGGCGCTGCAGATAGTCACATTACGGTTGTCGGTCACCGAGGCCGTTGCCTCATTCTAATACCACCGGTCAGCTGGCTCGGTTGTCTTACCTGCCTAACAGTAACGTGAACCATATGCTTTCGAATGATGATTACAGTCAGTAACTGTCACGTCATACGAAACCATGATATTGTACGTGAGTACTCCACCGAAAATGTATGTCAGCCTGATTACCCAGGCAGCACCCGCAGCTTTTTTCTACACGTGTACTGACGAGTCCGCCCCTTTCCCGGCTCAGCTCATGGCATAGACTGTGGGTAGCTCACCCACACCGCAATATCGTGGACACCGGAGTCGGGCAGGTAAGTAGTATGAAAACCTTACATCCCTAATTAACTTTACATCACTTGGATATTCACAATCCCCAGGTTGGCCATAGGTCCGTCTTCATTATTGTGGCGTTTGCATTCCCGTTGTAGTGCTATGCATTTGCATGGGGCGCTGACATCACACCTATAGATGCTCCGTACGCGGTTTGGGGACTACCGAATGTAGCACCTGCTCAGCGCATATAAACTTCGACACTTCTGACACATTCACCATCTCTCCAAGAACTGCACCCTCACAGCTGCAATGTACTCCCCAATCAAAACGCTGGTTGCCACCACTCTCATGGTAGTCTCTGTTTGTGCTCAAGGCGCCTTCATTAACCTGCCTACGCCTGGCTCCGATATCACTGCGGGTACCAACTTTACTGTGCAAATAGGCCGCCCGGTAAGCTCTCAAGCACGCATCCTTTAGAGTATCGTATTCAATAACCCCGTGCACTCTCAGGACACTATCACTGGCAGTGAGGAGATATCGATTGTAATTGCTATCCAGTCTTGTCCAACTGGGAACTGTCTCCCCGTTAGTGAGGATATGGGAACTGTCTTGTATGCAGGCCCGTTCAATCCCCAGTTTGGGTCGGGCGCGGACGACCCATATGAGGACTTCTCTGTTCAAGTTCCTGCATCCTTCACTACTGGGCAAGCACAGCTTGGACTTGCTCACTTTACCCTCGTTGGAGTACGTTGCTCCCTGACTATTTTTGATGTACAGATCTGACACGCGTTGCAGGAGCTTTTCTGGCCATACTTACAACTCGCGAATGAGACTGTTTACGTTGTTTAGGTGGCCCTGCACCAAGGCAGTACAATATATATGATCTATGCAGTTGATGTATTAATGCATGATTCCCGCTGGGTTGAAATAATCACATGTTTGTTCCAGAGCTAGTGTTGTGGGTAGAAGTCTGCCATTCTGCCAATGGCAATTGCCATGCGGTAATTGCCGGCAGTAGGTCGAGGGGCAGAAGTCGGCAGAAATCAATGTGAATCTTATTTGTACTACGAGCAAATGGCATGTGTTTGATATTCAAAAAAGTGTATCTGAGCCCCTCTGCACACCAGAATGTCGTCAAAAAAGTCCAAGGGCCGCCCCACCTGAAAAATCATCATCAACCACTTTGTCCAACAGCAAAAAGTCCCAAATTCATCAAATCGTTATTTTTACGAATGCAACTACTAGGTTCAACATCTATATAGAGGGCCGCGACGACAAACACCTCAAACATATTCTTGACCGGAATACTTGCCCTACAGCCCCAGATCACGCTCGTACAGAAGTCCGTAACTATGCCATCTTGCCTCAACTTGAAAGAACGGAAATCAAACCCTACTACATCAGAGAACTCATGAGTCCTTGACATGGTACCCGTGGAAACTATACGACAACATAATTATGTTTCTGCTAAATATGGCTATGTATACTGCGAGAAATTCGAGTTATCAGTACATACTACATAGCCATGGATGTCTGAAAATCTAGTTTACCATGAGGAATTCACGACAAGGTCACGAGTCACTACTCCCAACTTACAAATCCGTCAATCTCCGTGTGAGGGCATCCGACCGATTTTCACTGGGCCTCGTTGCTCAATCAGTACTACCCCATAGTGTATTACCATCGATGAGGCCTTGAGGGTAGAGGGAAGGCTGCGAAGGATCCTTAGCATCTTGTCCAGAAATCTCTCAATTTCTTGAGTAATAATCTCTGTCACTGTGCTGTATACAAAATAATGACCTTGCAAATTTTATTCTCCGCAATTCCTCTACACACATACATCTAGCCCTTCTCCCTCGCTTCTACCCTCCCGATTTCTCGCTCCGGTTAGTGTTAGTTTAAACTAACCCTGACTCGGACTCGTGAACCCATTTTCGAACGAGACTTCGTTCATCATATAGAAGGAACGAGTATCATCCTTCTAAGTTTCATCTGGTCTGGCTACAGGAGACTATTCAGCACTATGGCAGAGCCAAGATCAAAGGTTTGGTCACAAAACTAAGCTAGTTTCACACTTCTTTGATATTGATATGCTATAGACGAGTCCGGACTGCGAACGCCGAGACACGTCACGGTCGTCAGAGCTCCACCTAGCGAGTTTTGGATTCTTAGTACACGGCGGGCGGCGTTGATGCCCCGAGTCAAATGGTAGTAGTTGAACCTTCTCCTCAGATCGATTGTCGTGCCTGATTCTGATTTTATTGCATAGCCTAGACTCATGTCACGAACCCTGCCATAGCCCGCATACTAGTAGAGCCTACCGTTCACATCATTCCAATGGTAGCCGCCATTCACTATGTACCCCCCTTATGCTAGGAACCGTCACCGATTATAGCATCAGAAGTAATATTGCTTCGTACTCAAACTTGAATTCAAACACGGAACGCTTGTCTTCCGAATCGCATTTTTCAGAACACGGGCAAGAAGACCTTCGATCGAAACTGCGGACGCATGCACACTGCACAGTAATGATGCCTTTCGTAGCGCTGCAGATAGTCACATTACGGTTGTCGGTCACCGAGACCGTTGCCCTCATTCCGATTCCATCGGTCAGCTGGCTCGGTTGTCTTACCTGTCTAACCGTAACGTGAACCATATGCTTTCAAATGATGATTATAGTCAGTAACTGTCACGTCATACGAAACCATGATCTTGTACGTGAGTACACCGAAAATGTATGTCAGCCTGATTACCCAGGTAGCACCCACAGCTTTTTTCTACACACGTGTACTGATGAGTCCGCCCCTTTCCCGGCTCAGCTCATGACATAGACTGCGGGTAGCTCACCCACACCGCAATATCGTGGACACCGGAGTCGGGCAGGTAAGTAGTATGAAAACCTTACATCCCTAATTAACTTTACATCACTTGTTAATTCACAATCCCTAGGTTGGCCATAGGTCCGTCTTCATTATTGTGGCGTTTGCATTCCCGTTGTAGTGCTATGCATTTGCATGGGGCGCTGACATCACACCTATAGATGCTCCGTACGTGGTTTGGGGACTACCGAATGTAGCACCTGCTCAGCGCATATAAACTTCGACACTTCTGACACATTCACCATCTCTCCCAGAACTGCTCCCTCACAGCTGCAATGTACTCCCCAATCAAAGCGCTGGTTGCCACCACTCTCATGGTAGTCTCTGTTTGTGCTCAGAACGCCTACATCAACCTGCCTGCGCCTGGCTCCGATATCACTGCGGGTGCCAACTTTACTGTGCAAATAGGCCTCCCGGTAAGCTCTCAAGCATGCATTCTTTAGAGTATCGTATTCAATAACCCCGTGCTCTCTCAGGACAATCTCACTGGCAGTGATGAGATATCGATTGTAATTGCTATCCAGTCTTGTCCAACTGGGAACTGTCTCCCCGTTAGTGAGGATATGGGAACTGTCTTGTATGCAGGACCGTTCAATCCCCAGTTTGGGTCGGGCGCGGACGACCCATATGAGGACTTCTCTGTTCAAGTTCCTGCATCCTTCACTACTGGGCAAGCACAGCTTGGACTTGCTCACTTTACCCTCGTTGGAGTACGTTGCTCCCTGACTATTTATGATGTACAGATCTGACACGCGTTGCAGGAGCTTTACTGGCCATACTTACAACTCGTGAATGAGACTGTTTACGTTGTTTAGGTGGCCCTGCACCAAGGCAGTACAATATATATGATCTATGCAGTTGATGTATTAATGCACGATGCCCGCTGGGTTGAAATAATCACACGTTTGTTCCAGAGCGTGGTCGCCCATCAAAATGATCACCATACCGATGCACTCGTGTTTTTCATGAGCCAACCTGTAGAGTCTGCAAAGGTTTCCCATATCGCTAGGCTGCATAGCACAGTATCGATATACGGCCGTACATGTTTGCGAAAGAAGATTGGATCGATCTGCTCTGCTAGTGCAATAAAGTTCGCCGCACGTCGTGGTGGGCATCTTCCTCCCTTTGAGGATAATTTCATTGCATCATCAGTTTTCGAGGTCCCGCGTTTGTGTTTGCTTCAATTGCCCCCGGAATCTCATTCGGAGATAGACGCTTTGTGGCATAGTCGACACACCTTCCAAGAGACTAACCCATTGTAATTTGCGAATTGCAAACATGCGTGGGATTTTCTAGAAGTGACATCTGATACCGATGACAGCCGTCGATTCAGATGTGGGCCCCTGAGCGGCAGCTATCTTACTGATTTGTGATACACTTCGGCAATGGATCTGATGGATTCGTGGCGATCCCCAAGGAATTTAGAGAATTGACACAAAAGGTCGAGTAACACTCCATGAGATGAAGTCGATATTGCGAGAGGGCGACATTTGTATGTGGCGACGTCCCGGGTTTCAAAAGCTCCTCTAGTTTCTTACATTTATTGAGCGGTTTGTTCTTACTGAGGAGCACGTCGTCTTCGTTGTTGATATAGGTCCTGCCGATTAATTATAGGGTGGAAATATTGTCGCCTGGCACAAGACCCCCAACCGCACGAGAGATCAATTTAACTTTTGAAATCGAGCTCGTTGGCATTTACAACAATCTGAGTAACATGTGTGAGCGTTCCATACTGATACTGTGCACATTTGTAGCGTGAGCGAACTCAAACTCGACTTATAATTTGAGTTTGCTTGTGGCGTGCCTCAGGCTAGACCGATGAGTTCGTGGACCGAATACATGGCGCAGGACCGCCGCTGAAGGACAAACAGTGAGAAGCGGAGTTAAAGCCGCTGAATCGCTGGAATGCCAAGACGGTGAACTCTGGCTCGACATTTTAGTATTAGTTCCTAGAAAAAATTCAACGGTGAACTGGTGAGGGGGAGCTGCGAAGGGAAGGGGAGAAGCCAGGAATGAGATGGAAAGGCCGGTGTAGAGGGAATTAAGTAGAGAATATGATTTCCAAACTGATAACACACTATTAGGTAGTGATGGGGGCCTCATTGCTCAATCAGTACTACCCCATAGTGTATTACCATCGATGAGGGTAGAGGGAAGGCTGCGAAGGAGCGAGAAATCGGGAGGGTAGAAGCGAGGGAGGGAGGGAGGGAGGGAGAAGGGCTGGATATATATATGTGTAGAGAGGAATTGCGGAGAATAAAATTTGCAAGGCGATTATATTGTATACAGCACAGTGACAGAGATTATTACTCAAGAGAAATGTGAAGAAATTGAGAGATTTCTGGACAATATGCTAATATTACCCGTAAAAATACACATCTAGAATTGTATAGGGAAATACAACCCGGATTCATATGCGCATAGCAATTCACGAACACTTCCTTCAAATACCTGTTCGAGGGATGCCGAGGCTTCTGAAAACCAAGGAGCATTGTGGGATGCGAAACCGTCAAAGGGCGTGCATCAGAGTCAATTACCTATGACAGCAACTGAGGCCCAAGGGTTAACAGAATGTGAAGTCACTCACCTTTATCTTCAGGTGGTTGTATCGCGCGGTAAGTCACTGGTAGCATAGTAAATAGCCTCCGTCGAATGAGGTCAATTCTCGAGTATACCCCCCTGCGCTTTCGGTCCTGGTCCGTATTTTCTTTCCGGAACAGTGCATCAGATACTTAAATTGATTCGTCGCTGTGTCTGGAACACTGTTGACAATGACAATGTGAATGTCGTTCGTCAGGCATCGTTGTCGTCAGCATGGATGGACGGAGGGAATGTTGGACTTGGTGATTTTCAGTACTTACATGATACTCGCGATGTGTTTTCTGCACGTGAGCGAGTGGTATTTAGATTCCTCTGTGCGAAAATTCAAGGGAACTTGTGCAAAAGTACTACGTATACAAGGTATATTTCCTGTACATGTCGGCGTATTTCCAGAAAGTTCATGGGAAGTACTTAACAAAATCTCCAATATTTCCCTTCGGCTAGAATCCGCGATTTTGCGCCTTGTATACGTAAGTAGCGCTAGGGGGCAGAGGAGGTGGCCGATCTAGAGGCTGCGAAGAGTCTAAGAAGGGCAGGACAGAAAAGAATCAATAAATATTATCACATCGTTAGTTCAGTAGCCCCGAGGCTCTGTATCTAATGAGCCGCGCTATGCATGCACTATCCGCCAGGGTCAGTGATTAATATGCATTTAGCAAGGGAGCAACAGGAGTATCACTAAAGATACACTGCAAGGGATCATGCAAGAACAACCGCACAGATGAGCGTCCGAATGATACAATACTAGTATGCGTGACAAGTAGACGTAGACCACGAGAGTAAAAGATGACAGACGATAACACGTGTATGCGTAAAGGTAAAACATAGCTATTACAACCTAGAACGACTCGATAAATTTTGTGCCTCCCTCGAAAGTCCGCACTGATATTGATGATTGTGTAGAGAAATGGCGGTGATCGGGCGGGCGCACCTCTTCGTCATCCACACTTGCATCTCGGTGCGATCCAGGGGACCTGGGCGAGCTCGATTGCGAGAACGGCGACTGTGACCGTGCAAAAGTCACCCGCTGTGGTGATGTCACATGCAATGGGCCCGTTGCATACGGATCCTTATAATGCATTGGTGCATACGACTCCGCATCTGACAGCGGTGAGTCCATTTCTGGGACCTGGGGGCCGTAACGTCCATCTTGAAAAGACCTGGAGAAGGGCTGCATGGGCTGCTGCCCCCCACGTTCTTCGCCGTGATCTGAATTAATCTCCCATTCGTCACCTGAGCCAGCTTGGATCCAGCCACGCCCACCTCGTCGTCCACCACTCCTGTTCCCACTACTGTGTCTATCTGCCCACATCCCGCGGAGCTTGTCTCCAAAGGAGCTGTGTCCTGGCGAGGTAGCTGTTGAATCGTGTTCTTGGTGGTCGCGGTTACGGCGGTAGCGCTCACGACGGGCAGTGCGATCTTGGTCGGAGGGTTCATGGTTGCGAAGGAGGAAGAAGACTGCAATACAGCAGATGAGAATGAGCACGCTCAAAGCGACGACGAGCCCGATGAAACCTGTTGGACGTTGATATTTGAGACATTACTCATGCAATCATATGTTGGAGAGAAGTAGGGCAGGGGAAACTACATACCTCCTTGTGAACCGCCTATTTCCGGGACTGCTCGTCTGCTGAGCATGGCTGCATCGTAGGCTAGACTTTCTACAGATATAAAGAAAAAACAGGCGAAGAAAAGTGTAGCGTGTGGTGAGCCCCTCATGGACATGGTTAGGATGACACAGACGGTTCAGAGGCGATGATGGGACCTCTTCTCAAAACTGGGCGAGCGAAAATAGCGCTGGGCAATGGACACGGCGATTTGAAAACCGTGTGTGAGGTGTACTTGGCGCTGGCATGCGCATTGTGCACGCCGCACAAATTCACTTGACCAAGTTCAGAGTCCAGACCAGATCGGCTTTCGGAATGTTGCCGAGCTTCGCTGCCCAATCAAATGTTGCCGCAAGGCGAATCGAGGTGGAATTCGGCACTAACGAGCTGAAACGAAGTGTACCTCGTTCGCCTCGTGATGTGGAAACGAGTTCGGGAGTTACAGTGATACGGTAGCTCAGCCAATGAGAAGCTAGGGTTTCTGCATGCCGCCGCCGCATTACTTGCAAGTGACTAGTACACGACCAGCATATATACTAATTAAAGTCAATGTCCCTTGCAACGTGGAGCTTGCAATGATTCTCAGCGGCTATCAGCTCGTCAACTACTCTGGGAGGTCCAGATACTGTGTAGTCCCGCTCGTCAGCTACCAGGTCCTCTGTAAAATTGAAGCCGTCCTGCTTGCAAATAAACTTTAGAACTTGTAGTGCTTCGAGCGTGGTCTGCCGCATGCGTCATAAAATGCAGGTCTCTTTTCTTGATGAAAATATGCGCTCAGAAGGCACAGATGAAGCTTGAGCGGGCAGGACATCCATAGCGACGCGGAATAGAAGCGGAAATGTACGTTCTTTTTGCTAACGTGATGCCTATGAAATTGCAGACAGAAATATATCACATACCTCCCAAAAGTGAACAACATCTCTTGTGCGTTCAGCTGTATACGTACACCTTCGTAACGAGAAAACTCGCACTCGGCATCATCTTTCGAGTTCTTTACAGAAGCGTTCCTCTGTAGTTTCCGGTATCGGGGAGTGCATCATTGGCTCAGACAATGATGGTGGGAGAGGGATAGTGCTATTAGTAGCAGAAGCTGAGCGCCGCGCGGTTACTTTGAGGTTGTTCATGCAGCTGAATACAGCAGATGAGGACCGAGTTGGTGAGCACCTGCGGCCTGCGAAACTTAAAGTTATCCGATGTTAGAGTGGCAGCTACGTCGAGTCCATTGTAATGAAATATTCATATGGGCCTGGGACCATTCACAGGGGATTACGATGATGGATATAAAGTACGTACGATTATAGTAAATCTGTTACAACTCGATTCAGTTCTGAATTTGGTCATTTTCGAAGCGAGCCAAGTTCACATCGAGTTTTATATAACTCACCTCACTAAAATTTCTCTTCAAGTCCGAGTCTTCGTTAACGTACGATTCAGAAGTACGACCTCCATAGCTTCTGTTAGCCAACTATTCATGCGCGCGAGTTGGTCCTGTCAATTCACTATAATAACGGTCGGTATACTTCCTTCAGCTCTCTTCAACTCATATATAGACTATTGGCCGCACAAGCTGCATCATCCGATACTTACAAAGCGTTTCGGGCCAACACGATCATAGAAAAGCCCGTTCATCAGTTTGGAGGCCTGATTTTTCCATGGAAGGGATAGTACGCATCATGATCAGCTGCCTTGTTGACCTAATCCTCCAAAGTTAGCTGAACATCTTTGAATCTCGTGGTCCAGGTCCATTTTTGTACTCAGAAATAGCCACGAGATGTGCAGTGCCTGTCACGTTTGATATCAATACCTTTCCTCGACGTCCACTCCTTCTCGACTCGACTTTGTTCGTATACACAGCCCTTTTCCAGGCTCAACCTTATGGTTCGAAAATTATCACTTGGCCATGTCTTCTCGAGATCGAGAGACAGCGACCGTCCTCCAACACCCCCTCCTAAATCACCACCACTTTCTCCGATCAGCATTGTCTTGCCTCTCGCCAGAGGCAGCAAGTTCAAAGAGGAATCTGTTTCCGCTATCTTCACCGCTACCGCTCCTACAGAAAGTATCACAGGCTCGGTCAGGCCGCATTCCACCTCGAGGCTCCAGAAACGGCCTCACAGGGCCATCACAGCTGCATCCTTTACGCACCCCATGTCTTCACATGAATTCTCCCGATATCCTCCACAGCTAGTTCTGCAGCTTCATTCAAGTTTCTGTCCCCACTCCCCACGGTATGTTCACCTCATTCCCCACGTTGAATCATACCGAGCACCAGACCTATTCTTAGACTCAACAACTTCCTCCTGGCGTGACTTCATTCTTGCCCAGCCACGCATCCCGCCGAGTCTTTTACAGAAGACTACCGTCTCCAGATCCCACTCCACCAAAACCCCTACCTCACCATCCTCGAAAAGACGTCCCCTGAACAATCCACGCGTTGTCTCCACCTCCTTCGCACGTCCCTCCCTACTGACCTCGATGCAGTGCGTGATATCATGCCGAAACCCAACGGATTTGTGCACACCGTGCTTGAGGGCGTACAAACAATCATCGTGCGCTCATCCTCCGCCCCTGATGACGTCTGGACTGCGATCCTCATCCAATTCAGCTTTCTTCGTTGGCGCAAATGCTGAGCAACTCCGTGCGCACTTCGTAGCCCAAGATGGTCGGGAGGAACTTGTCATCGTTGGCGATGGGAACCGTAACCACGGCAGATCTTGCACTCATGGCGCGCCAGATGTTGGAGCTTATGCATACACGCGTAGTGGATCCGGTGCTGAGGAATTGGATTGTGCCTGAATTTTCAACGACAACGGATGTAGACCGGACAGTGTATGCGATGTCCATCATGTCGACGATGAAAGAGTATTTTCGCTACAAGTTTGTACTGCGTTGTGGGATACCGCTTGTGACCCTCCTCGGGGAGAGACATGACTGGGAGACAATCCTGGAGCGACTAGAGCGGCTAAAACTATACAACATAGAAACAATAGCATGGTATCACCTCCTGCACCCCGTCATCTCTCGATTCGTAGCTGCTTTCGACGCGCCATCCAGTCCCGAAAACCTCGATTTCTGGTCCAAAGTCGCACACTACGAGGGAGGCGGAAGTGGGCCGACCTATCTCTCAGGCTGGATCACCGCATTTTGCGTGTTCAACGAGCATGGCATATGGCAAGGTCCTCCGCTAAATGCTGAGCGCATGCGGGAAGACGCGCCAAAGAAACTGCTTCGTCCTGCGGATCCACGAGTGTTGAGTGCAGCCCAGTTTGCCGCGGTGTATACCATCCGCGGAGCATGGCGTCCTTTCCTGGTACTCGGGGGGATGCCGTATCCAATGATCGACGATGAATGCGTGCCGTGCGGGTACGCTCATCTCGATGTGAAGCTAGATGATAATGGGGAATTGTTCGATACGGTGGTCGTTGCGGGCGCAGTGGGCGCACAGATCTGTTCAAATGATAAATCGGAGCTGTTTAAGAATGGGATGCGGGATACCGTAAGGCCAGTGGTGGGGTATTGGTATTTATCACCGGGGCGGGATGATTAGCGTGCGTTGTTGTGTTGCTTGTACTTGTTCTGTGTTTCTCAAAGGTTTTGTTTTGGACACTGGCAGGGCACCGAAGATGCCCAACCCGCTCTGAGAGATGCTTTCTTACCTTAAGGACGTGGATGACGTTTTTTCTCTACGACGTACATAGGCGCTTATGTGACATGCTACAAGTGCATGCAGGGTGATGTTCGGTGTGTCGACAATCTCATCGTGTTTGAGCTTTTGAAGATGCCCCGGCGATATTTCGCAAGTTATACTCGTTCGATATCGTAAGTTCATACATACATAGTTGATCTGGCAGGCTCTGCGAGCAAATGGAAGGCAAAGAGGCTCCTCGATTCACAGGCTTGCAATGCATATCAACCGAACGGCTCTCCTGTGGTTGTATTCCATTGCATTCGCTTTACAGTCACACCACCCGTTCGTAGTCCACCTTGCACCGACTGCTATTGAACCAGCCAACCAGCTCCTTCATGTCAATAGGGCCTAGCAGCATGCTGCCACAGACTTGAACCACAGATTCGGGGGCCGTTTATCATACTCTCCCACCAGTCGCAATTGCGACGGCGAACATTAACATTCGATGATTCTGCAACAGACCACTCAGACCACTTTTCGTTGATGGGGTTATTGATAGTCAAATACGGTGAATTTACTTTATGCTAGGCTGTGGGATCCTCCTCCCTTGGAATGGTGCGTACCAATACTTATCTCTCCACTACGCGTTATGATCCTTAACCGTATAGTTTTTTGTCCAGTATTGATTACCGCCACCTTGTTCTTCTTGTCTCGCTTGGTCGGATCACCACTGCAGGCATCCTTTGCCTCATACGTGACCACCACTTCCAGCGTATTCAATGTATTTGTGCTGGCACATGCCACGGCAACTTCGAAACGGGTTGGAATCTAATTTCTTTCGAATTCTATCACGCTGACCATCATGTTGCTAGTCACCACCCTCTCGATGAGTTTTCTGGTCTGCCGCATCAGTCACACTCATCATCGTCCTCCTGTTCTTCAGCACCTTTGGATACTACCAACCACCGACCTTCTTTTTCTTTGCAATTCTATGAGCTATTCTTTGGTGATATGCGTTTCATATCTTTCCACAGGCATCTACGCTGGAGCCTCGCTCTTCGGGGCTCCTTACATGCAATTTATGATATCTGGCCAGCCTGAGGCTGCCATAGCTGTGGTTGTTAGTGTGGTCCAGGTGGTTACGTCCGCCTTATCCGTATGGGGTTCGATGCTGGAAGCAATTGCCCGCGTTCATATCTAACGATGGCGTTGGAGACGGAACGGCAGAGCAGGATCCTGCCTGTACATTTTTTGGAATATCCATATTGTTTATGATATGCATGTTCACGGCCGACGCCTGGATGGCGCGATTGCCGGCCTACAAGGCCACTGTGTTGGGATTTTCTCAAACTTGAAGGAGCCCCACTCTGAAGAAAGAAAGAAAAATACTGTACGGTAGAATGCCAATGTCAATATTAAGGTCTTAAGAGGAACGATCAGGACTGAAACGAACGCAAAGGAAAAGGAAAGAAGCTAGCGGTCCTGGGATGCCCGGGGGGAAGGCTGTTATATGTGTGTAATGTTCGTAAGACGCATGCATATACATGCGTCATAATATTCGAACGTTTTGACAATGCCTAATCAGGTAATATGAGTTTTGTTGATGCTAACAGCCAGGATTCCCTTCGAGAACTCCCTTCTTCTTTGTCACCATGCATGTGCACGTGTAGTCCGCCTTCCTGTCAGTGCATGGCCTTGGACAATGGAAGCTGCGGACTTTCCCTTATTCATCGCATTCCCATCTTTACAAATACCAGCCGAATTCGAGTTGATGCACCTTCAGGACACGCATACCCTTTGAATCAACAAAAATGCCGAGCCCCGTCTTCATTCAGCAGGTTGTAGCCCGCCTTCCTCCAGCAGGTTGTAGCCCGCCCTTCCTCCAGCAGGTGTAGCCCGCCTTCCTCCAGCAGGTGTAGCCCGCCTTCCTCCAGTAGCTGCAGCCCGTCTTCGCTCAGCAGTCCGTCTCGGTTTGCAGGTCTAACACATACGAGGGTAGGTCTGACATATCCCGAAGCTGTCTGCAATCTGATCATGATTTGACGCTACTACTAGAAGTGCTCAAGGGTAAGTCATGAACTCTTTCTAGACAATGAACTAGCCAGATAACTCTTTACACATCAACAGAGTACAAAATCACTGGTAGTCATTCATCCATGTCCATGATGCCAAGCTGACTTCCCATGACACAATCAGTGCATTCTGTGATAAAAATTCATGAGCATCACTATTGACGATCTTTTAGCCGAGAAATCTACCTTTGCAAACCTCACTATTCGAAAAATTGGACACCACAAAGAGGCTCGCGGCCATTCAGGCTGGGAGCACGAGTTCCTAGTGGCCGAGATGTATAATGACTCGGAGGGGTAGCAGGTGTACTAGTGATTGACAGGGAGAATCATCCCACTATTGCCCGACGTCGTACGAGTCGTACTCGGGGACACCTTGCATCCCATTCCACTTCTGGACGTCTTGTCCCACTTTGGCTATCATCCTTCTAATCTCGGTCGATCTTGTGAATTTGATTCACCTCCTTCGGTCGGTGAGATAGCATCTGTACTTGCAGAGAAGAGTATAGCGGGAGGGGAGTATTCTTCTCGTGACAAGAATTGCTATTGGTATGCCAATGCCGTCTTCAACCATTGTTCGAATACCTATGGGGGTGGGATATCCAAAGGCCCATATTATGATGACCTTGGACGTTTCATGGGCGGTGCACCACATAATGCCGTTGTACGTCTCTACAATCCAACCCTTAAGCTTTTCCATGTCTCATTGAATGTTTTCAGAAAGAAGGACTTGTGAATGTTGTCGGTTACGGTGCTGGCATCGTTGTCGGTGTTGGTGTTGGGATAGCCTCTCTCCCTCTGATATTTGGTGGAGTCGCTGTTACCACTGCGGTCATCCTTGTGAAAGGGAAGGGGGAATCTCAGGCTGAGCCTTTACGGTCATAGGGACAGCTCAGGTGCCCTGTATCAAGAATAGTTTCAGTCCTTCTGGACATACTTACCCCACAGCACGCTACGATTGCGGTAGTGGCCATCATCATGAAGCTGGTACTTTACGGAATTGCTTGCTGCTTAATCCTCGGACGTGGCCCCCTTCGTTGACCCCTCACTCTGCTCATTCCCCTCTATATCCTTCCTCGGCACCTGGAGACATCGACGAATTGTTATAATACCCCCCGCATATATCTCATTGTTGACGCTCTTCTGCATACCCATCTGGCCCAATCAGTGTAACGTGACAGATATCTAATGATGATCTCTTTCATCCTAGTTTCTCATCGATCTCATCCTGCGACAGGGCTTCACGTTGACTATTGTACAATACTGAATGTGTACTATCAATTGTTTATACATCCGTTCCTATGATGAAGTACAGCCTACGAATGAGATCCTCGCTCTGATCACTGATCACACAAATAAATCTATCCGCCCCAACGTTTCCGATATAACTCCCACCGCCTTGGCTTCAAACTCAAACACATCCCCGCCACGGTATGCCACAAGGTCCTGAGGCATGTCCCTCTGCACTCCGAGCGCCTTCTCGAGATTTGTCGTGGCAAGCGCGAGAGCCGTCGTGCGATCAATAAAACCATTGGATGTGAGGAGGAACTGGGATTGATGTTAGTAAATATGACATGAAAAGAAGGGTTCAGCCAAACGCACCCAACCGGCTTTGAAACGTGTATTCCGGGCACTGGACTCTTCAACAACACCAATAGCTACATTGACGCCGGCCTTCAACAGCGCAGTGACCAGACTCTCCTGCGTGATCGGTGGGCCAGCAAGTCTATGTGATGGCTAGGTTAGCATCCTTCATCGCAAGCGAAAAGAGGATCGGACCAGGAAGAAAGGGTAAAAGGATACTTACATCCTCTGCTGCTCCCACGTTGACGGGAATGGCTTGCTCTGCGTGACGATCACGCTAACGCCCGCCCTCGCAATCTCGTGCGCAAGGATATGAGCCTCGGTCGCCCCTGCGAAGGTCATACGAAGCTCCCTGCCGGAATGAGCCTCATACTCATCCTTGAGCCGAAGCAGTGTCGCCATTATGTCTGCGCTCTCAACGTCAACAACGAGCGTGGTTTTACCCTTGATGCTAGATATCAGCGTGAATTCAATGCGAGAGAATTAGTCAAACCTTTCTAACGCTCCTGAGTACTTTATCCCCACCCTCCCCAAATAACATGTTCCTTAGTGCTGCTATCTGCGTGCTCACGCTTACCCTTGAAGACATGCTTATGCCCACATGCAATGCGACCTCATCAACAATGCTAGCATTTTCCACGCCCGCATGCGCAGCTCCAGGTGAGAATGCAGTAGATATGCCCTGCAGGAAGGTCCCAGAGGGCGCAGTGATGGCTGTTGTGACGCCGCTGCGATAGGCTAGTCTGTAAAGGTCAATTTGAAATGCAGACACAGACGTAAAGAATGAAAAGGATACATACAGCAAATTCTGACCACCAAACATGAGCCCATCTTGTGCTCTCATGATCGTGTCACCCAATATGGCGGGCAAATCTCCGTCGAGAGGGTTATGAACACTTCCATCATTCGTGCTCGGCTCAAGCCTTATCTCCACGAGCCCCAGTGGCGCACCGAAGCTCGTCAGTCCAGGTGTGATCGCACCGCCTTCAAGGTTCACGATATCGACGTCCCCTTCTGCAAAATCCGAGCATTGACCAACACACACCACTCGGCCATCTTCCACGCCCACCAATCCCGCCTGCTCGGAAACACGCATCACCCCACTCGAGTCATCACCTCTCATATAAAGCCCCGACACATTCACGAACATCACACTGTGGACGCTCCGAGGCTCAAGAGGGGGAATACCCTCGTGCGCGACCGCTGCCAACTTCTCTGAGTCGAAATTGGGCGTGCGTGGAGGCGTGGTGGGTCCCTTGGCAATATAGTGGCCGGGAAGGGAGAGCTGGGGGATACCGTCGATGTAGACCTGGGTGGGCGTTGAAGCAAGCGAAAGCGGGTGGGAAGACCAGATCACAACATCTAGTTCCAATTAGACGATCAGACTCATCTTTCATGTATCCGTTGACCGCGAACGAGACGTACCAGCATCATACCCTGCAATCCAACCGAGACTTAATTTCTTCATTGAACTTATATACTTAGTAGTCTCACATACCTGGTCTCAGCATCCCAATCCGATGGCCCATCCCCATAGCAACAGCAGGAGTATACGTAACGGAAAGGAGCGCGAGTGCGGGGTCGAGGCCATAATAGTGCGCTTGGGCGGCTTCGTGCAGGAGGGTAACGGGAGTTGACAACAGGGTGATCAGACTGCAAGCACAGGTTGGTTGGAAGCGAGATCAAGTTACAAACTGTAAGGAACTGAAGTGAAGGAGTATATAAGGCGACACTTACCTTCATAACAACGTCGATTCCATGCTCCGCCAGCACCCGCGGAGCGAACTCCGATCCTCGATATGCCTCGCGTTTCTTCCTTCACGCAAGACCAGCTGCGTCAGCACAGTCACGAAAGTCAATCCGCATATACGTACCGGAAGTTGGATGCAAAGAGCGCGATGGCAGGTGTGCCACCCTGGTGGACGGGAAGGTCATTAGAAGGTTGTCGCAAACAAGCAACGAGGAAAGAGAAAAGACTTACCCATGTCTTCTTCAACAACTCCGGAACGAGGTACGTTTCCCCAGCATGGTGAAATGACGCCACGGGGAACTCAAACTCATTTGTAAGCTGTCCGAGGCCATCCATTAAGCAACCAAACGCAAGTAAAAATCAAAAGAATAAAAAATAACAATAGAATAAAACGTACGCGGACGATTCCGTCGAGATCAACCGCCTCGTAGCAGTGCACGGCAAGCTTCACGCGTCCGCGGAGCACATCGACAAGGGATTCCCATTGCAGTTCTTCAGGGAATGTCTTCCCCGCAAGGTCATCCCAGGAATCAGACTCTACTTTGGCACAGAAATCGTCTTGAGCGTCACGCAGCTTTCGGGCACTATCGTAGGCGGCGCGGAAGTTCCATCCAGAGTCAAGGCGCGTCATGCCATAGACACGAGAGGGATTTTCACCTTGTGAGTGAATGAGCGAGGGGTACAACGAGGTGTCTTCCGGAACATACCACATGCATGTCTGTTGGGTGTTGGAAGTGAGGAAGATTTAAAGATAAATAAGAGAAGACGGAGTGAGTGAAATGACAGACTTCATGTGTCGCCAGCGGGGCGTGAGAGTGTGGTCAAAGTGAGAGCCATTGAGCGTGCGGGGAGGCTCAAGGAGCATGGAAGAAGGCGAACGTTCAGCTGTAGGACGAAGCTTTATTATGAATGCCTGGCCACCTAATAGACAGTGTTTATGATCAGCGATTAGACTAAGTATGTATTGAGACAGCTCTAACCGATATTATTTGCACTCCCGGGGAGAATTTGAGCGGGTGGTGACGCCTCCAGCTATGGCGAGTTCATATGACGCGTCATGGGTGTTCAATCCATCGATACTGCGTAACCAGGGCAAGATGGGGGCCTTACGAGAGTTCGTGTCGCCCGCACCTGCAGGAAATATGACCCTATAGCTGTTGTAGAGTAGCAAATGAACGCACCATTTAGTTGAGGCAAACTACCGACACCGATATGGGAGTGTAAATCCACAATGCCAGGGGTGACCCACGCTCCGTGAGCATCGATAACCTCCAATTTCCTGTTATTTAACTCAAGCTGCCGAATCAGAGAAAGAGGAACATCCCCGATGGCTTTGATAAGACCGCGGTGCATGAGGAGGTCACCAGTGAGAACCTCGTGCCCGTCATTGGCGGCTGTCCAGATGGTTCGCATTACGCACAAGAACGGGAGTCGTGTTCTCTGAATCTGCGAGGCGGTCACTCTGGGTGCGGGCATGGAAATTGGGTGGAGGCCCGGGCTTAGCACGTATGTAGGCACATTTGGAGAGGATCTGGGAGCGACGGGCGAACTCTTGTGGGCTGGATTGAGATAACGCCGAAAAGATGGAGGAATGGAAAAGGAAGATGTAGACGAGTGCGATGGTAAACAGGACTAGGTGAGCCCAACGCCGAAAAGGAGGACGCGTCACCAACGGTGAGCTACCCATTACGTTAGACGGTGCCAGACAAACTCGACTTCAATGAGTCTTGAGCTCCTTGACCACATGCAGTATTCAGCACTTATGTACTTGACATCGTGGGGAACATGTCGGCAGTACTTCGGTTCTGAACCTATTTTAGTAGCTTCGAACAAACCAAACTTCCGTACGTAGGGGGCTGCGATGCATTTCTTTAAACACTTTGAAGTAAGACCACCTCAAGAGTCGATTCAAAGCCTGACCGGTCCCTGACCCATGCACTGTGATAACGAAGTACTCAATTGCACCTCCGTCCCATCATGATCAGGGCCGCTAATATCATCCACGTGATTTTGACGTGTCCGTTCATTGCAAGCACGCGCTGATCCCCTGATCAGCTCTCTCTGACACTGGACAGTGACTCTAACTCAGAGAGCCATAGTACGGAACTCATTAACCCATTAACCATAAGTAATTCAGAGCCAACAAGAACGTACTCTATTCGTTCCCATGGTGCCGAAACGTGGCCACGATCATCTCCGAAAGCTACTAGTACCATCAGTACGCGAAGACTCGATCCAGTGAGGAGCGCACAAAAAAGTTTAGAACCAGGTGTACTTATTCTACTGACAGCAGATGGCCTATGGCCCGGGTGCAGGTTATGCAGAGCTGCTGTTACCTGCACCACGCCTGTCTCGTACGAAGCCCATGTCCAGATACCGACTTAAGCTTCTCGCCGATGTGTCCGGTTGTTGCAGTTTCAAAATTCAACCCAGCTTGACCATCATGATGTACATGATGCATCAGACTCAGATAGGCTAGGTGTCCGAAACCCGGACCGTAAGTTGATTTAAGAATCAAGATGGTTCGATTTCCGCTTGGATCGCAAAATAAGCTCCATATGCATTATCAGGGCATCTCGGTCGTAATGTGGATATTGAGAGCAATTCCTGGTTGACTATTAATCTCTCTTGACGTTCAAGTCTAGGCTCACTCCCGCTTGCAACAGCGCAATATGGCCGTGACTCGGAGAGCTTCTGCAATTTCGGATTTGCACCCGCAACCAAGCGCAGATGAGACGACTCTCGCCGAGCTAGGATACAAACAGGAGTTTCACAGGGAATTCACTCCGCTAGAGGTAAGCTTGATTTCGGACTCTGCGATGTACACGACACAAGCCAACAACTGTACAGGCAGCTGGACTTGCATTCAGCTTTGTAGGAGTGGTCCCTTCTACAGCGTAAGCCATTACTATCAAGTCGATTGAAATCGTACCACTAATGATAAAAATCGGTTCAGCTCCGTGCTCTTCTATGCCATACCAAATGGTGGGCCTTTCGCGATGGTTTGGGGTGTAAGCTTTCATCATACGTGAGGATCGCTGTTTGGTGAACATCTCACTTTTTTGGCTGTCCAGTGGACAATTGCTTGCCCCTTTATCGTGTGCATCGGGTTAGCAATGGCAGAACTCGCCTCAGCAGCTCCCACTTCTGGTGGTGTATGTCATCAACGCTGTCGCTGTTTCACACTTGACTCAACAAAATCTAGCTGTATTATTGGACTTACTCGCTTGCTTCTCCACGATGCCGCAATTTTCTGTCATGGATAGTTGGCTGTAAGTCCTGCATTTTGATCTGACATGCAGCCAGTTCTGACATCTGCAGATTCGAATACCATACAGATTATTACGGGTTTCGGTAAGATGAATTTCATTTTTTCAACTATCTCCCCCTGATCACGTCGGGCTAGCTTCCGTAAACTGGGCTTGTACAATTCAAATCACTGCAGCAATCGGCATGGCCTCCTCTGACCAAACATATGTGACTACCAACCAGCAGCTCTAGTAAGCTCGTTCTCATCCGAACACGACACTCTTCATATTGGTTGTTATAGTGGTATATACGCTGCTTTGGTTTTGTCAAATGCTGTCCTCGTGAGCTTTGGTACCAAAGTTTTGGCAAGGCTACAGAGACTATTCACGTTGATGAATGTGTGGTAGGTGTTATAGACTTCGTGCACGATCATTGTTTTAATCCTCCGATAGTCTCTGCTTCATAATCATCATTGCGCTTCCGATCGCAACGCCACCGGATAATCGAAACAGTGCAAATTTTGTACTAGCGGAGTTCACCAATTGTATGTGTCCTCATCCAATTACATTCGCAGCTCACGATTAGTTGTAGTGAGCGGCTGGCCATCTGGATTCGCATTTATTCTGAGCCTTATGGCTCCTCTTTATACAATAGGTTAGACCATCTTTTCTCGAATAATTGCTCCATGACTATTTTAACCCGCCAGGCGGTTTTGATGCTAGCGTTCATATGAGCGAGGAGGCCTCAAATGCCGCTACTGCGATACCATGGGCAATCGTAAGTGACACTAGAAAATAATCAATTGTTGTGTTAATCCCAGTCAGGTCAGTTCCATCGTTATATCGGCCTTCCTTGGTTTGGGTATGTGGAATGACACGTCACTCTGATCTTGATGACACGCTCTAATCCAGGAGTCAACGTATCCCTTGCCTTTTGCATGGGCACTGATGTCGGCGGCGTCTTAAGTAGCCCCGTAGGCCAGCCTATGGCGCAGATTTTATACAATTCGCTCGGACAGAGAAAGGCCCTGGCTCTATGGTGTCTCATTATTTCAACGGAGTACGTTTTAGTGCCGTGTGGCATGCTCACAGCCTAATGATAGAGCAGGTACATGGTGGCATCGAACTGCCTCCTGGTCGGCTCTCGCCAAACATTTGCATTTGCTCGTGATGGAGCCCTCCCTTTTTCACGGTATTTGTACCGGATCAATCGCTACACAAAAACACCCGTCAATACAGTTTGGTTCGACGCCACCTGTGGTCTGGCAATTGGACTGTTGTCGTTCGTGAGCACCGAAGCCATCAATGCGGTATTCACAATTGCTGTCACCGCATCGTACGTCGCCTATATAATGCCGATCACAACCCGCTTTGCGTTCCAGAATAATTTTAAACCCGGCCCGTTTCATCTGGGGAAACTGGTAGGTTAACCGGCAGTGACGTATTTTTAAGCTAATATGTCTGTGTAGAGCTTTCCAGTCGCCGCGATCGCTGTGGTGTGGATGATCTTCATGATCATTGTTTTCTTCTTTCCCGCGAGCCCGCAAACGACGACACAGCAAATGAACTATACAGTTGTGGTACTTGGAGGGGTCATGTTTCTGGCAATTTCCTGGTATTATTGTCCGGTGTACGGAGGCGTGCATTGGTTCACTGGACCCATATCCAACTTTACACCGGCCATCAGAGGTGAAAACAGAGACGAGGATTCGATGTCGGAGAAGAAAGAACAGGATGATGCAGATCTCTTTGTTTCAGCGGTGGATGTATGAGTAGTATTCGCTGTACCGTCGTGAAATCGTCGGTATACAAAAATGGTATGGCATAGTATGTGATTCAACAAAGCACTCTAATTACATGTAACTACGTAGTTGGAAGCCCCTGAAGCTGCATTATCGAAAAGTCGGGTCAATTTTTTAACTGTATCCATGTGTCACCTGAAGCTTTGCTGCAGTCGCGTCGTTCGTGATTTTGTGGATGGGCTTGACCATGATCATTATGCTATACCCAATATTTATTGTCAGGTGCTATACATCCATACGTACGTGAAGCTCAGGCCCTACGAAAAAAGCTCCTGCTCTGCTCACGCAAACAAATCGGTCCGCCCAAGGTCTCCGATATGACCCCCACCAACTTAGCTTCAAACTCAAACACATCCCCACCACGGATACTAGTTGCGTTACGTACGAGAATAGGCTTCGCGTTCTTGTGTAGCGGTCACTCTGGGTGCGGGTATGGAAATGGGGCAGAGCGTGCAGCAAGCATAGGCGCATCGCAGGACAAGGCACTTCAGCGTGCGCTAACCCGGCAGATCAGCATGTCTCGGGCATGGAAAGGGAAAGATCGGTCGACAATTGCAGTGTCACAGGCAGACAACGAAGGTGCCTATTGGAACCGCTAAGCGCATCATTGGGCACACTGGTTCCCAATCCCAATCTTCCCAATCCCGCGCAGCGCCAGTTATCATCCTTGTAACCGCCACGCCTGTGAAGAAACCACCTACCCATGCCAAGTCAAAGGTGTCCGCTCGGAGCTTGAGTCCTTGTTGCGAGAGGAAGTGGGAAGTGAGCAGTGGTATTATTTATGTACATTATCGATTTCTGACTCCTGAACACATCTAGTACGTGACTTGTAATGCAGCTACATCAGGAAATCACGCATGTCCTTTTCTAACTTTTTTTCGCGCTTATTTACAAGACCTATTGCTAATCGTCACTTTTCCCACTTATGCGTTGGACACAAAAAGCTCGTGTGATTGAAACAAGTAAACAGGATAAAATAAGTGAAAAAGCGAAAAAGCAAAGCAAAACGTATGAAGTTCGAAGACATAGAAAAAGTGAGCCATGTATAAAACACTACCAAGCTATTTCGAAGGCATGATGGTCAGCGTATTTGTTCACATAGAATAGTGTGAATATATCAAGGACATGGTGAGCTTTAATCGACAAGGGGAGCGGTTCAGTACCATAGACCAGAATAAGATGTGCAGAGTGAAAAATAGCCTCCACGTGAATCACTGCATAGTGAGCATGGTTACCATCAGAAGATGGTGAGACCATCCACATTCCAGTATCTTCATCTGGCGTGTCGTCAATTCTGTTAAACCAGCAGACAACGGCGCAAGGATAATATATACCCCTAAGTCGAAAGAAAAAAAAAGTAAGTACTTGCGCAATGTCCATGCCTTGCATTCCGGGAACGTTTGGGTCAGTAATAACAAATACACAATCTTTGTGTGCATATCCATTTCTCCATTTGGGGGACATGCGGATGTGCTCGCGTTTCATCCCCCCAATACCGCTCAAGTCGCTCGGCGCAAAGAATGTCGACACTGCAGAGTGGCAAACTCGTATCCTTCCCTCGTAATGAGGGCGGTCCATAATACCTGAAGGGATGTCTGCGGGGGCCTCATCTGGATACAGCTGTTCGGTGAGGAACTGCTGAACGAGTTTTAGCTAACTCTGGGATGTTGAGCTCGTTAGCCAGTGCAGGAATGCTTTGGGGCCGCTTTCTCCCCTCTGATTGTAAAGACACTTAGTATACAGTGGTTATACAAATAAATAAAAAGACTTACGAGATGTTCGAGCAAGTTCTATGTGTGCAAGGACTGACATTGGGGCATCAATGTCCTCAGCATCAGCGCTGACATCTGCATCAGGTATACTAGAAGTTGAGATGATACCGGGCTGCTCAGGGTACCCTCATGGCCAGGAGGACACCTCTCAAGCAACTTCTCCTCTCTCTCTTCATTATGCCTGGTGTCCTTTGGCGAGATCAATTTGCTATATCTTGCAATATTGATCTGCATCTGAACTGTGATGAAGGAATTTGAATGATCAAATGAATTTTCTGAATCTGCAGGAAGACCCACTGGGATTTTTATATGCCCTTATGAGGCAATCAACCAATCGATCACAAGCCATCACCAGATCAGTGTCTAGGTTAGGAGAAGGTATCACTGGGTCTCCTCCTGTCTTCTCTGCATTGAATTTCTGTTTGGTATATTCACATGCCTCATGAGTGACAGTCAGGGCCCAAGTGTGCCAGAGGGTTATTTTAATATCAGAAGTGGAAGAAAGATTCATGATGGAGTTGATCTTGGGAAATCAGACGCTAAATGTTGGTGTTAAAGGGGGGTGGAGATAGTGAGGATCAGATAAGTGAGCCTTGGATGATGTTAGCTTTCAAAGATGTATTATAGTCCATTGCTCAATGAAATACCACATGATTGGAAATGTGTTGGATATCAGATATTTTTTTGTTGAGGCCCGGGTCTCAGGTCTCAGAGCTCGGTACGCTACACTCGAATTTCGGTAGTCGGAACTTGGCATTTGGCATTTGGTAGGTGAAGATAGCGAGGATCAGATAAGGAAGTCTTGGATGATGTTAGCTTTCAAAGATGTATTATCATCCATTGCTAAATGAAATACCAGCTGGTTGGAAGTGTGCTGGATATCAAATATTCATTTGTCAAGACCCGGGTCTCGGAGCTCAGTATGCTTCACTTGAATTTCAGTAGTTGGAACTTGGCGTCTCATAGGGCAACACAAGCTTCGTACACTGTTTTTCACATTCTGCAAGACAACTCAAGTGCCGTTAAAGTCCATGTCAAGACAGCACCTGCTGCTGCAGTGTGTATTAGCTACTCGGTAGTCAGTACTACATGTTTGTCATGTCTACAATTTTCATTCACCTGGGTCCACCCGTCTATATTATATACCACCATTGGCCCACCCATCTAATATAATATATTATATAACCCTTGGCCCACCCATCTAATATAATATATTATATAACCCTTGGCCCACCCATCTAATATAATATACATCTAGGCCCACCCATGTATGTGATAACAAGTACCCTTGGCATACCCGTCTATCTGATCCACATCTACCTTGGTAAACCCATCTACATAATATCCAACTACCTCGGCCCATCTGTCTATAGAATATTCATGTCCATCGGCCCACTCATCTACTCTACATATTCCCAATATGGGCCCACCCGCCTCCATTGGGAATAATATTTCTCCCAGCCCATCCATCATAGTTGAGGATATTTCTACCATCGGCCCATGGTCCGCTGGCCCGTCTTATACGGGATATTATGTATGTCGGTTCACTCATATAATACGGAGATAGGTCACTGTAGTATCTGTTGGGACAACATCTGACTGGAGTGGTTCTAATGGTGGTGTGGTGGGCAGGAGACATTGTCTCAACTGCTGATTCCGAAGGACCGATAGGTGATACTTGATCAGGTACCATAGGCACAAGAGTAGGAGCAGGCGGGTGTTCTGTGGTAGTATGGATCTCATCTGCAGCAGGTGCAGGGACAGGGTAGGGTGGCAGTGGTGCGACATGGATATGATGGTCGATGTGAGGAGATGGTGGTCTAGCAACCTGAGTAGCAGTTCTCTCAGCCACGATGTGAATAGCTCTGAGAATATCTTGTTCAATATTATCGGGGATAAGGAGGTGGATAGCAGGACCACAGATATGGCCTTGTAGGTGAAGAACGAGTTGTTTGTGAACAGGGTTATTAAAGGTACACATGGCACGTTCAGTAAGGTGGGCGGTTCACATGATGTTGAGCACCATGGCCGTTGCGAGAGACTGTCTTTCGAGAAGGATTTTCTCGATCTCAAGGGCATGTTGGGCGGATAGAATGGTGGCCTCAATGAGGGCTTGGTCTTCGACTTGACTGATGATGCGAAAATATTGGTCTTGTACATCAGGAAGATCTGCAGGGGTGATGGGGGTATCATGGAGGGTTGCTTCAGAGGCGAGAGGGGAGATGTCTGCAGAGATGGAGTTCATTATAGCTTTGAGTTCTTGGATATGAGGAAGGCAGAGTTGTAACTTTTTGAGTGTAGTGGTCATCCTGAAGAATGCTACAGGCCGTGTCACTTTTTATATGTTTGAAGGATTTTCTTGGTGTTTTCAAAGTTTTCTTCGGGGATCCACTCGTTGCTAGCAGAAGAATATCCTTTCCAGGAGGTAAGATAGCGTCTTCATTTACCTGTGCCTTTGTGTGATAAGATCACATCAATCTCATATTCTTCTTCATTATCTATGATGTCGGGGGGAGGATCATGGAAATTTGGACCGTGGATTTCAGTTTCATGATAGGATGATAGTTCAGAAGTATGGAACGTGAGGTGAACTTTCCATTGCGGTGGTAACTGGAGTGTGAACATGATGGGGGATAATACAGCTGTTACGGTAAAGGGGCCATATTATTTTGGAGCGAGTTTTCGTGATGGTAGTTGCGTGATGAGGTTCTTTCCTGACAACCAAACCTTATCACTGATCTTCCATGGTTGGTACTTCCTTCCATGTGATTGTTGCGCTGTGAAAGAGAAATAGTGACTAGGCTGTTAGTAAACTAGTGCTACTTATCCAAATAGGCACGAGTGTAGTATTCGACCCAAGAGGACTGCTATTGAAGCAACTCCCTACTAATATGCAAGGGAAGCGATAGCACAAAGGGCTAAAAACATATAGCAACCTAAGACCAAAAACTGATGAGTAGCGCTATAGCGATCAGTGACAAGTGAGTTCCGACAGAGAAACGTGCATATACAGTGGCTCAAAAAACCGTCCGTATGTTTTGGCATTTTTCACTATCTATAATATTGTGTGAGAACAAACAAATGCCTCAAAAACATGCTTATACCACATTGTAGTATGGCTTCAGGGCTTTCATTTGAGCCCTACACCGTGGGAATCGGTGGAGATATGGTGGAGATACAAGGCTCACAAAATGGTGACTCATGCGGACAGTTTTTTGACTCAAGTATTTTACAGTAATAACCAGGTATTCTAGTATTTTGTATGACCTCCCTTGGCTTTAATTACTGCCTCTATCCTTCTAGGCATACTCTCAATTAATTTCTGGCAATCCTCAGCTGTGATCTTCCCCCATTCCACTGCTACTCTCTCCCAAAGCTCCCATACTCCTTTAGGGGGGTTTTCATAGGCTTGAAGCTTTTTCTTGAGTGTTCCCCAGAGATGTTCAATGACATTGACATCAGGAGACTGTGCTGGCCAGTCAAGAACATTGATGTTATGTTCTTCAAACCATTCCCTAGCTCTTCTGGATGTGTGCTTGGGATCATTATCCTGTTGGAAAATGATATCTTCTTCATCAATCCCTGATTCTGCCAAGCTAGGCAGCAAGTGGTCATTTAAAATGTCCACATACTGCTCAGCATTCATCTTCCCCTCAACCTCAGCAAGCATTCCCACACCATTCCATCCCATACAGCCCCATACCATTAAAGAACCTCCTCCAAACTTGACAGTCCCATTAACCTCTCTGTCTGTTAGGCCATCTCCCTTCTTTTTCCATACATACACCTTCCCATCTGACCCAATCCTATTGATTTTGGTCTCATCTGACCATATAACATGCTTCCAGTCCTCTACAGTCCAGTGTTGATGAGCTAAGGCAAAGGCTAGTCTTCTCTGCCTATGTTTGATGGAGAGAAGAGGCTTTTTTCTTCTTTGTTACTGCCTTGAGATGAGCTGCCTTGAGAACATTCCTCACAGTTTGTGAAGAGACAGGGGTAGTGATGGTGGAATTGATATAATGGGTGGCTTGGACAGCATTATCAGCCTTTCTTGTAGTGATATGTTGGATAATAGCCCTTTTGTTGGTAGAGGTAAGCTTGGATGGACGTCCTCCACAAGAGTTTTCCTTGTCTGGGTGGCTTTCTTTGATGAACTTGGCCACAGTGGACTTGCATATTCCAGTTCTAGAGGAAATTTGGCGAGCAGAGAGGCCAGCATAAGACAGAGAGAGGATATTATCTCTTTGAGCAGAGGAGATGACTTTCATGGTGATTATGACTATGATACATGAGATATTCTGGTTTATATAGTTAGATATAGTCATAAAATAACATAATGACACCACTTTATAATTTATATAATAGTGGCATGATTTTTATGGTGTCATAAATAATGATTTATATAGTTTTTAATATACACTCAAAAAACTGTCCACATGAGTCATCATTTTATAAGCCTTATATCTCCACCATATCTCCGCCGATTCCCACGGTGTAGGGCTCAAATAAAAGCCCTGAAGCCATACTACAATGTGGTATAAGTATGTCCTTGAGGAATTTGTTCATTCTCACACAATATCATAGATAGTGAAAAATGTCAAAACATGCGGACAGTTTTTTGAGCCACTGTAAGTGAGATGCGCTATGCAAGTTGTTTTATGCGATAGCGCTATGCAATGTCCGACTAGTGACAGCAAGAAGAAATCAAAGGAGCAAGAGCAAGAAGTAAGATAAGACAGTGCAAGTGAAATGCCTGGTAGCGACTAGATTGTAGCATGACTACCAATAGCGATCCCGACGTTGCGAAAGTCAAACTTAAGAGGGAACTTTAGCGATGCACTGTGACAATCATATTGGCACTAGGCATGTATACCTGCATAAGCCTTCAATAGGTGGACCAAAGTTATCCCTCATATTATTCACTACTCCCCTATCAGCAGTCTTCACTTGTCTCAGCCATAACCCTTGTCCAACGCTATTCTGCACATTCCCACACTATGCGCGCACATTCCTGCAGCGCTATTCATACTCCCGCGACTTATCCGACGCTATTCCCGCGCTTATAGCGCTATCAGAACTACCAGCAATGTGTTCATAGGAGCATTAATGCATGTCCGCTCTATCTAGCGCTTGTTCCTGTGCTTAGCGCTTATCCAGCGCGCTGTTCTCGTGCTCTAGGATCCACCCGAAACGTCGGAATCCATCCATGGTCCATCCTACCTCATTGGTATGTAATTTGCCTTGCCTCGAGTTTGTAAAAAGTGCTACAGTCTTATTACATGTATATTCTATCCCTTCCGAGTCCGAGATGGTATAGTTTACTAGTATAAGAAGCCTATGGTGACTACTTTGACTTTACTTCCCTTCGACTGTAATTCCTTATCCTTAGGATTTACTTAGAAGTAGTCACCCTTTAGTTGCGCTCTATGGCCCCTATTTGACTTCCCCTATCCTTGCAATCAATACCTTTGATCACACTCGCTATCCATTACTCTCCTTTGACTCAGTGTCCGCTTTCTTGACTTCCGCTCTTTCCCGTGCATTAGCGCTCTATCTTGCGACACGCTATTCCCGCGCTTTAGCGCTCTTTCGGGTCTTTCTATCTTAAGTTGTTCTTAGTAGCTATTCCCTCGGGTTGAACATTCTTGCATCTTTGTTGCAAGTATAGCAGCATAGGCAGAGCATTAGACATATACTGGCTGAGTACCTTAACAAGTGCCTAGTCAGGTTGTGTTTTTCACAGCGCGCTTAAAGCAAGTCAAGCGACACGTGATCAGAGAGATTGGCAAGAGCGGAATCGATTGCACCAAGACTAAGATATAGCGACTAAAGTGACTCCGACACCAGCAAAGGTCCGGGGAAGGGAAGTAATGTACTGTATGTGCGATGGGTCATTTTAATACTGCATAAGGGTTCAGAATTGTGTAGGTGAGTATAGTAGTGACACTGGCGAGGACATGATGTAGCGACAGGTAATAAAACATGCAGCACTGCAGAACACGAGGATACATGTAATAGGACCTGCGACTGATCAGTAGCGACATTTAAGGACAAATAATGCACCAGTGGAGGTAGGTGGACATAGGCAGGACATGGGAGGACAGAATAGCTAGACGTCGGACTGGGGTAGCGCGCTATGGGAGAAAAGTGGTTCCAAAGCGGATAGCTTGGGAGTTGATAGTGCTGGTGACTAGTGCTTTACTCTTTTCCTCTAGGCAAGGCAAAATATGCCTATGACACTCATATGCGCCCAGCGCTGGTATGATTGTCACAGTGCCATTTGTTGCATTGCCAAGTTGTGGCAAGAGATGGCTTCTTTGCGTGTCTTTTGGAGTAGTCAAAGTCGTTCTTCTGCTGCAGGGATGGTAGATTCGGGGAGTACATGGGGGAGAGCTCATGGTTCATATCCCATCATGAGGAAGAATGGGGATGCATTGTGGGAGTCGTGTTTTCAGTGGTTATGGATGAATTTGGTCATAGGGAGGTGTTTGACCCAATATTCGGGGTTATTGCGGCAATAGATTCAGAGATAAGTTTCTAATTCTTGATTTAGATGTTCTGTTTGTCTGTTTGTCTGAGGGTGATAAGCGGTGGAAGCTGCAATGTCGTATTTCAGAAGCTTAGCAAGGGCTTTAGAGAATTTAGATATGAATTGCGGTCCGCGGTCTGAGATGACCTTCTCATGGAGCCCGAAGTGGCGATTGATGTATTTGAAGAATTTCTTCACTACACCTTCTGAGGTGATGGTTTTTGTACAAGGAATGAGAATTATACCCTTCATAAGCCCATGGTCGACCATGACCATAACAGAATTGAAGCCATTGCAAGGTATAAGATCGGTGATAAGATCAATGGTGACCTGCGCAAACAGGGTTGAGACGGTGGATGGAATGGGCATAAGTGGAGGAGTAGTCGGATGGGTATTGGACTTCATCTGCTGACACAAGGCACAACCTTCGACATATTTACAGATATAGGTGC